CTATCGTTCTATGGCAACAGAAGTCAATTCAGTGTAGTGCCAAATATATTTCTGCCACAAGAAAATAATTTTTCCAGCAGTGCAACTTGGATTAACAGTAACAATCCCTTCTTGAACATTGGGACCGATATAAGAGTTGATACAGAATCTTCTGTTGCACCAGAATCAGTTACACAAACACCTTATAGGCCACTGCCATCTGCACCAGTAATTAATACACCATCAACATCGTATACACCAGCACCTGCTAATAACCCTTTTATAACATCTCATACGCATAATCCTTCTATTAAAGTTGAACCTCCATCCTTAAGCACACCATCATTATCGGATATCAAGATTGGCCCAACAAAGACAAAATCAGAGCTTAGTAAGTAAAATATGATTACACAAAAATTTGAAAATGTAACAATGAGACCGATCATTTAAGAATCCAGTGAAGGACCTGGAACACTTCAAAAACTTTTATATATTTGGTAAATTGTAATAATGTCTATATATAAAACAAATTTCAGAATGCGAAGAATACGTGAGAGAACTCGTAGGCACGACTGAGATAATGTCGCTGGTCGGCACATCACCCGACGTGATCAAGGTGGATAATGTCTGTCGGGATGCAAATCGCCTGATTGTCGGCGGCACCGAGGCTAAGCCCGGTGAATTCCCGCATATGGTCGCCTTGGGCAGACGCAACTCCAATGAGACGTTCACTTTGATATGCGGCGCGACACTGATTTCACATACTTGGGTACTTTCTGCTGCGCATTGCACTTATGGGCCAAAGTACACACTTCTATTATTTTTCTTTCACTTCTTAAGCTATTTAAGAATTATGACAGGAAAGCTTTGATTTTTTTTTATCCAGCAGCCATCCCATTAATGGCTGCAACGATGAATTAGATAAAGGCTCAAAGTCCAAAAGCATTCCTCAAGATTAATTCAGAATATATTAGATTCACGTGAAGATTATAGCATTTTAGAAGTATAAAAAGAATTTTACCTAGATTGAAGAGCTAAGAATTATGAGGATGATCTTACAGTTATTTATGGAACGATTACAACGAAGTTAGTTCTTATTAAAGATTTGCCTTCTTGCAGTGGCGGTCCGACTGACGCACGGATAGGTTTTCATAGATTGACAGACCAGCATCCCGGTGTCACAATTGCCATTAAGACCATGATACGACATCCGGATTACAACCCACCCGCGATGTATGCGGACATAGCTCTGGTGCAACTCATGAATGCCGTTACATTTAGCACATCGATACGACCTGCATGTCTTTATGTACAGTACGATACCGGGCCTATGAACGCCTGGATCAGCGGCTGGGGTGTTACCGAATTCGGTAGGTAATTTAGTAATTCTTTCAAGTCTTGAAAGTTTCAAGATCATAAAATTTTTAAAGAAAAAGTATCATACAGAATTCGAAAATTTAAAGATTTAAAAGACTTTCTATCAGGAACTTTATTTCTATAATTTGAAAATTCTAATAAGAAAAGTGGAATACCAATGTAGTGACAAAGTTTAATGACGTGCTTTCAGCTGGAGAGCAGACCGACCGATTGCAGAAGGCTCAGTTGGACTTGGTAGACAATTTAGCGTGCACGATACGGCACAACAGTTCCAAAGAGGTTCCATATGGCGTCACACCGAGCATGGTTTGTGCGGGTGATCCTCATGGCGGTTGGACCAAGGATTCCTGCCAGGGCGATTCCGGAGGTCCTTTGCAAATTATCCATCCTAAAAATTTGTGCTTCTTTCAAGTGATCGGTATCACCAGTTTCGGTCAGGGCTGCGCGATCATCGACGCACCTGGTGTTTACACTAGAGTATCCCATTATATATCCTATATTGAGAATATCGTCTGGCCGTAATAATTGTGATCTATTAGACTTTTACGCGAAAGATATAAAAAAACATAGTTTATTAAATTGTACTTATTCAAAAATCAAGTCTCACAATTAATCAATTAAAATTGACTAGTCAGTCAAATTAATCTAGAACTAAGGAATTTATAACATTTACAATTTTTTTCCACTTCTCGTCATTTTATGATATAATATCCATTCATCATATATAAAAATAATTTTAAAATTTCAGAGAAGTCACATGCAGTCATTTTATATGCTGCTTATGTTCCAATTATTACCTGTGAAGAGAAAATTATCGACGGTTGTGAAAAGCTAATTGTATATATGTTATAATTCTATTAATTATGATAGTGCAATAAAACAGTTTGCAGTTTGGACTAGAATATCGGAACGTATACAAGAACGGAAAAGTCACGAGAAGGTATGAATTGTAAAATGCGAGACTGATGATATTGACTTTCTGAATCTTAGAAATTAAGAGATCTTGCTATCGTGAATGGTTCGCCATGTGAGTCCATCACCATATGGGCCATGGTTTGATGGGAACAGAACATGCCACCAGCTTCTGCAACAACACATAAACGAAATACATTTCGAGAATAATATTCGCCATGTTTGACAGTAAAAATAATAACATGAAAATAACATTCAATATATTTGATGAAAAATACTTGTATGCTGAACAAAATTTGCAACAAAACTAATTTCCAATTTCCTTTACAAATATTCTATTTTATATATAATTTACTGTTGTGACATAGAAATAAAATTATTTTATAAATATACTCATTTTGTTCTCGTTTAATTAGCTTTCTTGATGATTTATATTGCTCTCTAAATATCAATTGATTGTATTTTAATGAAAGATTCTCTCACAAACATTTAACATTTCAATATATATTTTAGTAAAATTTTGAAACCTGTTTTTTATTCCCAAGAACAATCTCCAATTCTCCCTTGGCCCAAAGTCGTACGGATTTTGATAGAACTTGCCCTGGGCCCGGTATTTTTGCGATTCCGTGCTGTTGATACGCGCTTCGATGCTCGTCTCCCCCCGGGTGATTAGACCCGCGTGCCACCAGGCCAAGGCACCCAACGCTGTGAACGTGGCGATGCAAATCAGACCCGCGAAAATTATCAATCTTCGTTGCCATTCCTTGACCACGGTTTCTGCTGCTTGTCTCGCTATTTCCGCCAGTTCCTCCTCGCTTAAATGATCCAGCGATTCCGTCTGCATTAATTAAGTGCAACGTTTAATATTTTTCAAAAATGATAGTTGGATAAAGCATATGTTCATCGACCAGTTAACATACCACAGGAATTATTTCCGAATTATTGAGGCGCACCGGATGGCCGTCCAATTCCGGTTCTTGCTCAGGAAAGAATTCCTCGTATGCGAGTCGCACCCCAAATATCATGATAAACGTAATACCGATCACAGTATAAACCATGTACAAGAAAAAGTGTCGGTGATTATAGTGGCCGACGCAATTGTTTAGCCATGCTGCATGCTGATTAAGGAAGATCTGTCAAGATACTACAGAACGCCCGGATAAATTCTCATTGATAATAATTGATCTATGAAGAATAATTAATTAATGAGAAATACATAATCGAAATATTCAAACTGATTTGTAAAATATGTAAGGATACGACAATGATGATCCATCTTGAGGATGCATTTGTTGCAGACAGAACAGTGGTGTGTTCTGGGTGGCTTTGGCTTGATACATTTTTTGCAGATACTCACAGCCTCTGGAATAAGGCCGCCCTGAGGCGGATAACCCGCCGGCACGGCCACACCCATGTAATAATGGAAGCAGACATTAACCAGCAGCCAATTTCCAACCAATAGCAGAATTATCGTCACCAAAGGACTTCGATCCCACCACCAGGGTAGACCCAAGTAGTATGCAATATATACGATACTGGCAGTTAGCAGGCTTACCATCACCACAAATACCTGTAAGCTGCAATGCTTAGTAAATACATTGTGAATATAATAAAGTTTGTATTAAATTTAATTATGTATACTCAGCGAGGCATTCTGTGGTTTATTCATATAAAGTGGTAAACTTTGTGTGATATTATAATATTATAATATATTAAACTTTATATGCAAAAAATTTATTGTTATAATTTCTAAATATATGCTATAAATTTTAAATACAATATTATATACAACTTATAATATATAAAAAGTGTAAGAATAAATACTAATTATAATCTTACCGGACCCAAACAGGCAGTGAAATTCTCAACAAACCAAAACATAGGTTCCATAAGTATATCACAAGCATAACTCCAATTTAAGAAATCATTGTAGAATAAAGATTTGAAGACAATTTGCAACCGCCACCATTTTTGCTTCAAACTTATCCTACAGATAAAAATTAAATCAGATCTTATTTATTAAGAAGTCCATATAAAATTATATGCAAAAGCAACAACTAAAATTAAATATAATTTTTAATACAATTTTTAAAAAATTACAGAAATAAAAAGTGAAAAGAAATTGAATTAGATGCAGAAAAAGAGATCATTTTTATAAATGATAGATATAAGTATAAGATTTTCAATAAAAAATAAATATACAAATTTATTGATTTACTTAAGAACATTTGGCGCCTTCGCCAAGGACCATTGTATCTTTGCCATTTTCGCTTCTCCCCTCGAGTCCACTCAAATATACTCATAATTTTAACATATTAAAATTATATTTCACGAACGTTGACACACACGTTCCTCGTCATACTAATTGCCCCAGCCTTGCGCATCTTGCATACATTTGATAAGGTGCTGATTGATAACCGTTGTAATCACATCAAGGATTTGTCAATAACCTCGATAGTACGACCGCCATATTTGTCTCCCAAAAAATAATTTAACATAATATATATATTAACATAATATATATATAACTAAAAATATGATAATAGTTATCGTATAAACATAAGTTTGCTTTCTTATAAACTTAAAATTATTATTTACATATTTATATCAAAAGCTGAAAAAGAATAAAAAAGAAGAGAGAGAATTAGGGAGTGTTCGAAAATCCTATCCATAGGATAAAGTAGCTTTTGATTAACCAATCAGGGCAAAAGGAGTAAAAATTTCTATGCAGAATGGATAGGATTTTCGAACGCACCATTAAGATTGTTCCGTCATGTTTTATGCGGTATTTTTGAAATATAACAGCTGTCAGCTGTCAAAAATATTTATTGGTGTATTCACAAAGGAACTTATGGAATATGGAACAATTACTTAATCTTTTTATTTAATCTTTTATTAATTATATTTTATTAATTATATTTTTATTAATTATATTTTTATTAATTA